ACTCTACCCAGGGGGACAGCTTGAGGCTCTGTCTCAAAAAAAAAAAAAAAAAAAGAAAATACTGATGCTGCGTAGGAGCTAAGCAAGGGGCAAACACGGCTGTATAGGGGACTTGGTGGACACAGGAGATACAGAACAGGGAGGGAATGAGGGAACTAGGGGATGAAAAATTGCCTATCGGGTATACATGCATACTATTTAAATGATGGGTATATAAAACTTAGCCTTCATGATGCAGTTCAGCTTTGTGTAACAAAAACCACTTGTATCCCCCCAATCTAGATTAAGAAAAAGAACTAAAAACTGATGCTAGGGTCTCATGCTGGACCAATCCAAGCACAGCTTCTGGAGTTGATCTTAATGAGCATCCAGAATTGAGAACCAGTGACTAGATGAACTTTAAAGTTCTTTCCAGCTCTAACATTTTATGGTACTAGGGATGAATTGGTTGGCCATGATGTCTCCTGGGTCATTTCGCTTTGTTTCGTTTTTTCTTACCCTGGCCTTGTAGGACTTTTTCTCCAAACCGTATGCAATAAGAGACAGGGATAGGGAAGTGCCATGAAGGGGCTTAAGTTTCTACTAGGAAGGCCTCCCCCCAAACCCTGGTTACTGGGAGGCCTAGATAAATCTGCTTTTCTAGGCCATGCAGTCTGTTTTCGTACTTTATGATAAAGCGTTAGCCTCAAGGAGAACTTCAGAGAAGCCGTCCTAAGAGCTGTTTCTCACTGACTGGGCCCCGTCCAGGTTGGAGCAAACCCATCTCATCCACAGACTGGGTAGGCTTGTCATCCATCCTGGCACTTTGTCACCGTGTTCTCAGTAAAGTTATGTCCTCCTGGAAGAGTCCGGGGAGGGAAATGGTATCCACATGCCTTGTGGTTACAGCCAGGCCAGGCTCCAGCAGAAGGGGCTGGAGAGCAAAACCATCAAGGGCTGATCCCTTGGATGGTGGTGGTTTTGGAAGATGGCACTCAAAGGGGTGGGAGGGCAGTCCCTGCCTACTCCAGTCAAAGTCCTTTCCAACTGGGCTAGACACGGCTCCGGAAGTCCACAGCCCACGGCTGCTGCCCTGACCGTGAGGAAGGAAGGAGGGAGGGAGCTCAGGGGCAGAAGCTGTCCTTCCCCACCCTGAGAGCCTAGGGCATCCACCTGGAGATGGTGCCTCAACCTTCATCAACTCTCAGAACCTGAGCAGTCCCTGTCCCTCAGGAGCTAATCACCAGGGGTTGACCTGTTGAAGAATTTGGAGAATCAGCTGCCTATTTCAGCCACCTCATGGACGCAGGAGGACAGTCAGTCACTCAGACTACAGAGATTTACCACAGCGTGTGACAGTGTGCCCCATGGCCTTAACTTGCACCCAGGTTGGAGTGACAGGCTCCTATAGCTGAGTACAGACAGGTGACCAAGAGGAGGGTGGATTAGGTTGTAGATGAAAAGAGCAAGTAGGGACAGCAGCAGCTGCGTCCAGAGCTGGCCGGGCAAGGGTGTGCTGAGTAGGAGGGGCAGCAAGAGTGAAAAGGCAAGTCTGGAGGCACGAGTCCAGAGACAGAATGGCAGGTGACTTCAGAGCACCCAAGTGAAATGGGGCAATCCTATTCTTAGGCTCTTCTCTGTTCCCATGTGAAGGAAGACGGCCTGCACCGGCCACTTCTCTGCTCCTGATCTATCTATTTCTGAGTTAAAATGAGGGCACCTCACACCTTGTGAAATAACTAACAACAAATTGTTTGATCAATGCTCAGCCCAGAAGAGATGATTCATTAAGTAGGGCACTTTGCTGGGCCAGGAGGCCCGGGGGTGGTGGGGTGGGGAGACTGTCCAGGTCCCCCTTTGCCAGGGCCTTCTGGGGAGAATCTCGCCCAGACTGGCACAGAACCACAGGGTGCCAGCAACTGTCCGATGAATCATCAGTGATAGTCAGACGCTCAGGAGCGGGATGCCACAGCGGAAAGGCGGCATGGTGAGCAGCATGTGACTGCCAAGGGTCCTCGTGATTCCCTCGAG